TCCCTACACCAATGTCTCCCAGAGTTTCCCCACTGTTTTCCAGGATCAGTTTTATCGTTTGAGGTCTTAGATTTAGATCCTTGATCCACCTTGACTTGATTTTTGTCAACGGTGAGAGGTAGGGGTTCAGATTCATCTTTCTACAGGTGGAAATCCAGTTTTTCCAGTACCATTTGCTGAAGAGGTTTTCCTTTTCCCACTGGATTGACTGGTATTCCTTGTCAAAAATCAGTTGACTGTATGTTTGGGAATTTTTTTTTTTTTTAATTTTTAAAAAAAAATCGAAAGGTAAAGTATTTTCTTGATTTTCAGATCTTCCTTTCTTTTGCTTATTCCCACCCTTCCACCCTCTCATCTAGGAGAGTCAAATACTCTATTGGAGCTGGAACTAGTGCTTTGATGCAGCGTGCAAATGTGCCATGCAGTTTCCATTTTTTTTATTATTTTTTAATTTAATTTAATTTTAATTTCTTTTATACATTCAATCATATATGTCACTTACCTTGTAAAGTGAATGTTCCAACATGAATACAGTTCTCACTAGTCTAGTTGGGGATACGACATTATCATCAACAGATAATAACTCATTTTTTTGTCCCTTAAATGTCTTGTCTCTATTTTTCACCTTAATGTCTTTCCTCAGACTCTCCTCCTCCTCCCACCCTCTTCCCACACTGCATCTGGTATCTATAGCCATTTTTTATGTTTCTGTAGTCACTATTCATTCAGTTCCAGCCATATAGTATGGATAGTCGGCATATATTAAGGGGAGACATAGTGTGCTCTACTTCATAGCCTGGCTTGCTTCACTCAGCAGTAAATCTTCCATATTCATCCACTTTTTTGTCAAAAGCCATGGTCTTGTTATTATCTTATGGCTCAGTAGTATTCCATAGAGTATATGTGCCACACTTTTTCAATCCATTCCTCTGTTGTGGACATTTGGATTGGTTCCATGTCTTAGCAATTGTGAATAATGCTGCAATAAACAGATGTGCAAGCATTTTTCTGACCAAGCATTCTTCTGTCCTTTGGGTAGATACCAAGGAATTGGATTGCTGGATTATATGGTAGTTCTCTTTGTAGATCTTTGAGGAATTATGTATTGTTCTCCAACCCTCTCCAGAAGATACTCAAATAAGATACTTGGACAACATGGTCAATTTCCACTGTGGCAATAAACTCATCTGGCAGATCATCCCTATGTAGATGTTCATAATGTCAAAGCCCACACTGGGCATGCATAATTGGGTAATCAAATTCCTCAGATTTCTTACCTAAAGGAGAAGTATATAAGCACAGAAACAAAGCCTTGAATCCAAACAAAGCAGTAAACCAAAATAACAGACTTCCCTTCTAATATTTGTAACAAGAATCCAGGATGAAAGTAATACCTAACCATATTACTAATTACAGTTGTCCTTTTCTTATAGATGCCCACCCACATGCCTCTCTGGAATGAAGTTATATTTCTTTTCTATTACAAATCTTTATTTTTCTATTAAGCCTTCTCTTTTCCTACTTCACTCATGTTCATGACTTTTCATTTGGTGTTTTTTTTTTATTTCTAATTCAGGCACTTTCAAGATCATTAAGTTTATGTATTACTTCAGATAAAAAGATAGTATTTATATTAGGGAATCCCTTAAAATTCAACTCTAGAGTTATTCACCATCTAGTAGTTTTGCACTGAAGATTAACCAAAACAAATCTCTAAATACCTAAAAGCCCCACTATTAATATGAACTATGGCAATAAAGAAATTTGACATTTAATTTGTTCCATGTATAGTAGTTACATTATGAAACCAATAGCAGTATGCTAAACAGTGATAAAGAAATAGTAAAAATAAACTTTAAAAAGCAAAGACTTACATAGTTTTACAATGTGCTAATTATCATATTGTATATGAAAGATTAAAACACAACAGAGCTTTCTGTTATAAAATTCTCTTAATCATCTTCAGTTGTAGTCATTACTTGCTATCAATTTACATGCAACATCTTCTAGGACTGACATTGTTTTTTAACACAAGAAAGCATGAGTAGATAAATGATATTTCAAAGCAGACATTAATTGATTTGTGGACAGAAAAAGATAAACTGTACTCAAGATTAGTACTAGTCACAAGCCTCTTCCCTATAGAAATTGTAAAAATAGTTAAGACTTGAAAACAAAAAGGAGAATGCATAGGCAGAGTACCATGAATTGCACAGCTCAAAAGTATGCCAGGATCAATCAGACACACATCTCTCTCCTTCAATGATGAGAGGTCTATTCTGCCATCACATAACAACAAAGCAAGTTAGGGGCACCAGGTGTACAACTAATTAAATCTTGCAAAATACTAAGATGGGGCAGGGGTGGCCAGAAGAAGAGGCAATTTATATATAATTCTAACTATATACAGCATAACTGGAATGCAGCCCATCCCAAACTGACTTGATGAAACAACTGGACCTTTATGATTTAATAGTTAAAATTATAATAAACATGGGACCAGGAGTGAGCGTAATGGCCATGTCGCTGAACTCCCATGTAGTCTACCGCGGTTCGAGTCCTGGACCCGGGAGCTTAAATTTACACCGGGCATGTGTGTATGCGTTCCCAAGATCCCGAGAGGAGAATGGAGGAGAAGGGATTGCGGCGTGGCCGTCCCCCACTTCCCCCAAGGGGTTGTGATTTCTTGCTTTCTGTCTCTCTGTTTCTCTCTTTCTGGCAAGCGCACACACCCTGTAGCGAAAACCTCTTTAAAAAAAAAATTAAAATAAGTGTAATAATATAAGGGATTTACATGGGAAGCAAAGCCCCAGGGTCATTTTATATTAAGTATTTACTGTTCCACTTCAATTTAAAAATAATTTTGCTAAGTATACATCTCAACTGAGGTCTATGTATTAAGTGTCCTAATAGATACAAATATTTACCTTCGGTGAGTCTTTGCATCTTTTTGTGACTTCTATCTGAATTGCAGGCAGAATGCTAGATGTACACACATGTGGGAAAACTCAAGCTGTGGATGTGAGGACACTGGAGGGACTTTGAAAGTCTACCAGAAACCCAAACCAGGTAACAATGAGGATGGCAACAGGAACTGAAATGTCAATATGGCAGTAAAACTTTTTAGAAACAGAGAAAAGAGTAAGGACCCTCATACCAAAATCCTACATGTGTACTAATACAGAAAAAACCACCCACCATTTCGTAAAACAAAAGCCAACTAACTACAGTGTGGGAAAGTATGAACAGCAAGAAAACCAGAAGTCAGTAGAAGCAAAACTACTGGTTTACATGAGAGAAAGCAAACTTGTTTTGAGCAGTTACTTGGTGGGTCAAGGTGAGCAGTTGTCCCACTTTCTTCGTGGCTAAATCATACTGCTTGTCCAGAAGAGGAGCAAAAGTGTTCTCCAGGACATCCGAAGCATGGGCTAGGTAAATGAGGGCCAGCAGGCACTTGTCCATGCAGTGAGGGTCATTCACCCATTTGTCAAGAATGGCTTCTTGGACTTTCTTGATGACACGCTCCTTAATGGTGATGGTGAACAGATGTGTCATCATGTCAAAAAGTAGAAAGTTCTCTTTCTCTATTGTCAATCCACCCTTTTCTACCAGGTTTCTAGCTAATCATTCTTGCACATTTCTTAACTGATAATGCCATTTCAGTGGATTCCATGTCTCACCACTAAGCAATTTAATCCAGTTCTGGACTGTTTCTGGAGGCTGAGTTTCTTTAACATGCTTTAGTGCTTCATCAAGAAGAACATCCCCTGTTGGAACATCCAACTTACAGATCACCTTTCTCATTAACACTTTCCCATCTCATTCCACAAGCCTCTAGTTGTAACCTTCCTGTCAACGCTAGTTCAATGATCCTACAGTCATGTAATCAAGATGATGCACAGTCATTCCAAAATGATGTGTAACCCTCTCAGTCCTTGAGACCCAGCAGGAGCACCTCCTCCATCAGGGTCAGCCACGTTTCTTTGGAGTCGCCCTTGTCGCCGTTGTCGTCGTCCTGCTCGTTGCGGTGGCTCTGTGTGTCATCCTTGCCACTGCTGCAGCCACTGCTCGCAGCGGCTCCTGTCGACGGCGTTGCTGGAGGCTTCAGTGCGCCACTGCACTGGCCGGAGCTGCGCTGGGTCAGCGAGGTCATGGCTCCAGCCGAGACGCGGTGCCAGGCCCCAGGCCAGGCACGGACGCAGGACCAACCGGGTCTCCCTCCTCCTTCCCCTGCGGCCCCCGACCTGGGCTTCCATGTTAAACCCCGGCGCTGGGGCGACGTCCGTCTGCTGCAGAGCCGGAAGTAGTCATGGGGAGAAGGTGGCCCCGAAGTGGACTGGCCTGGCAGTTGGTGGGGTGTGAGAGGGGCACTTTCTGCTTACAGCCTTGGCTTGGGACACAACCCGAACGTCTAAGTGGAGTGGAAGCAGAGGCAGTGGAAGGCGCCTTTCCAATATCTCATTTGGTGTCTTAGGGTGAGTCTCTAATCTTACAGATCTAGACCCAAAGAAATGATTATTTTCACAATGCAGCTCAGCTCCTCCATCGGATAACAATGACTTTTTTGATATGACTCCCAAATTAAAATGAACTAAAACAAAAATAGACAAATTATATGTGAAACTAAAATAATTCTTCACAGCAAAATAAACAAAAAATTAAGAGACAACCATGCAGAATGGTGTGTGTGTATTGCATTTCATAAACAGTTAATATTTAGAATGAATAAAGAACTCAAAAATCAATATTAGAAGACAAGTAATTCAAATATTAAAATGTGCAAAGTACTTGAATAGACAGTTTTCTGGGTAAAGCAGATGAATAACCAGTAAATACATGCATAAATACTCAACATCACTAATCATTAGAAAATTTCAAGATAAAACGATAATGATCACCTTACATCTGATCTTAGGATAGCTGTTATCTAAAACAGAACATAGAAATAGTGTTAGAGAGGATGGAAAGAAAAGGTGATTACTGTACATTGTTGGTGGAAATATAAATTAGTATTGTGATTCCAGCTCTTTTTTGGTTCCCATTTGCATGGAATACCTTTTTCCAGCCCTTCAATTTTAGACTATGTATGTCTTTATCCATGAGATGCATTTCTTGTAGGAAACAGATAGAGGATTTCTGTGTGTTTTTTTTTTTTTTTTAATCCATTCATCCAGTCTGTATCTCTTGACTGAAGAATTTAATCCATTAACATTCAATATTGTGATCGCTATTTCTGAACTTGTACCTACCTTTAAGTTGGTCATTGTCTTGGTTGTCTTTTATTCTCTTATTTCTGTCTGTTCATTCTTTGGTTTTCCTGGAATAAATTCTCTTCAGAGTTCCTTGAGAGGCTGGTGTGGTGTTGGCAAATTGTTTCAGGTTTTCTTTGAAATTTTAATTTTTTCCCATACGAAAGATTATCTTGCTGGATATAGTAATCTAGGTTAAAATTGTTTCTCTCTTAACACTTTCAATATGTCTTCCCATTCTTTCCTTGCTTGCATTGTTTCCGTTGAAAGGCCCAGTGTTAACCTGATGGGATGACATATGTAAGTCACTTGACCTTTCTCTCTTGCCAGTTTTAGTATCTTGTCTTTGTAGTTTTGGCCAGTCTGACTGAGATGGGCTAGGGAGAGGATCTTCGTGGGTTGATTCTCTTTTAGGTCCTAGGTATTTCTTGAATCCGAATGTTTGAGTGCTTCTCTAGACTTGGAAAATTTCTTCCATGGTTTCAAAGAATAGATTTTCCAATCTCAGTTTCTTCACTTCTGGGCTACCAATTAGTTGCATGTTTGGACGTTTAATGGAATCCAGTATTTCTTTTGTTATTTTTTCTTTTTTTTTTTGAGAGGTTTTCGCTATAGGGCACGTGCGCTCACCAAACAGACAGAGAAAGACAGAGAGACAGAAAGCAAGAAATCACCCCCCGGGGGGATGGCCATGCCGCAATCCCTTCTCTTCCATTCTCCTCTTGGGATCTTGAGCACGCATGCACATGCGCCCAGCATGAGTTTTAAGCCACCGGGTCCGGGACGCAAACCACGGTCGACTACATGGGAGTCCAGCGACATAGCCGTTACACTAACTGCTGGTCCCCATATCTTTTTGTATTGTTTTTTTTTTCTGGGTCACAGGTTTTGTCTTCTACATCCAAGATTTGATCTTCAGCATGATCTAATCAGCATTTAATGCTTTCAAGAGAGTTTTTGATTTCCTGTATTGCAGTCTTTATCTCTAATAGTTTCCATCCGATTCTTTCTTATAGTGTCCATTTCTTTTTTCAGATTGTGGAAGGACTTCCTCATCTCCTGGAGTTCGTTGTCTCTTTTCTTTTCCAACTCATAGAGCTTTGTTACTATGAATGTTTTGAATTCTTTCTCCAACATTCGGTAACTTTTTCTGTTTGTGTGTTTGTTTGTTTTTTGTTTTTTGTTTTGTTTTGTTTTTTCAACTTGAGGCTCTTCTGTGACTTCTATCACTTTTGGATACCTTTTTGGAGAATATTTCTGCCACTGGGAACGAATTTGCTTCCCTTTTGCTGTGGATTACTTGTATGCCGAAATCTCTCTTCTGCGTTTAGCAGCGTGATCCCCACATGAGGAATTTTCTACTCAGGTTTCTAAAGGGCAGTTTCTCCTTTTTTGCAGGTGGTTCAGTGTCAGCGTCTGCCAGCAAGCTTACAAGTAACATCTCTCTGGATGGTAATACTGTCGTCATCCTCTCCAGGACTTGGTGCTGTAGGAAGGAAAGTTAGAGGAAAGGGAGATGTAGAAGCAAATATGAGGTGAACACAGACAAGCTTAGTCATGCTGAGCTTCTTTATACCTTTTACCAGGCACAGTGAACTCTTTTGCAAGCTTTCAAAGATGTGGTTGAAGTTCTACAGTTACTGATAAGTGCTTTAGTGTATATGTTTTCTAACCTTGTTACTATCATGTGTGATTCTGTTATGCATCATAGGTTAAGCCAGATTAGTTATCTGTAAACGTCCTGTTATTCTGCAGTTCCGAGGATGGCTGTCTGAATATACATCAAAGAGGATAATGTGTAAGCCATAAATGTTATATAGGACAGACCTCACATGACCCAGCTAGGGTCAGAATGTTTCCCCAGTACTGCAGATATTTCCACAGAGCCCCTAGTATCTAAGGATGTGTCAGCCAGTCTAAGTTAATGATTATTTAGTCATACAGATAACTGCTTCAAGCTATCAGACTGCATACCCTCACATATCCTCTTTTCTTATTTTAATAGGCAACATGACTCCCTCCAGTTTAGGAAGGGGCCAATACCATGAAATATATAAGGGTAACACATGAATACAACAAGTGGCTAAGAGAAAAATCAACCAAAATATAGCTCCAAAGAATAATTATTTTAGTTAAGTAACATTAGTTGCTATTTGACTAAGGAAACAAAGTGTTATGTGATAAGTTACCAGGGATATAATTAAACATGTAAGTCTCACATGTAAAGAACCATCCTAGAGACAGATGTACAAACCCGTAAGCATAATTGACTGGTTCCTTATTTTTATAGGAATGTGATCCAGCAGGTAATTTAAGACAATTAGAAACACAATTTTGAACTTGTACATATGTGTCATTTTCAGATATTAACAATTTTGGAGTATATAACATTATATGAACTTTGGGGAGACATAGGTCCGCAATCATGCATATCTTTGTAAGAAATGTGTTTGTTTATATTTTGGAAATTAGTCAACTGTTAAATCTCTTCAAGGGGTTTACATTATTGGTTGTAAATAGGACCCTAGTATATATTGAACATGCTCACTATGTTGTAAACAAAAGGTAGCCAAATTTAACACTTGAGCCAATTTTATCCACATATTATATCCAGTGCACTATAGTAATTCACTTTGTAATGGGTTTGTCATTAGCAGGTGCTAAAGAGTGTTGAATTAACAATGATAAGCATAATACATTATCATTGGATTAGCAGTCAATATGGCACACATACCTATAAGCAAGTTCTCAGGAGTTGGTTCTTTATTCTGTTCTTTTAGCATTTCATGAACATCATTGGCTAATAGTTTGAAGTCACCCCAGGTGTTAGGACTTGCTGTGGCTGGTCTGTTCTTTCCGAGTTCTTTTCTTGATTCTCCCCTTTTCCGGAATCTTCAGCTAGAAGTTTGGCATCGAGCTTTGCAGTGTCTGATGTCAGCTCATGATATGCAGGTCGTATGCACCAAGAAGGGATCCAAATAGGACCTGTAGGAATAAGGACAGAGAGAAACCATCTTCTTCCCCAAGTTATCAGAAGAGTGAGACCTTGCCAGGTTGGATCTGGTGGCACCTTAAAAAAGACTTTTGCTTGGGGAAGTTTTTGTGTTGTTAAGTAGTATTCCACTGATGTAATTTTGAATCAAAATGCAGATTTAGATCATTCAATTTAAATATGGTTAAGAAAGCAATTTGGCAGCCTGGGTAGAGGAGGACCTAGATTCCCCCTTTTTTGTTTTAAAACTATGGAGAGGGTTTGTTTTATCAACAAACTCTAAACTAGTAAATTAGGTCTTGAATATTGAAATGTTCTCTTTCTTTTTAACCTTTTTTCACCACAAATACATCTTCATACCTATATCTTTCTTTCCACATCTCTTTCCTACTTACTGGTTTCCTTTCTCCCTTGTTTCTTTGTTTATAAATTTGTGTTTGGAGATAGTTGTTACCTCTGATTAATTAGATAAGGGGTGTATTTTGTTTGTCATTTTAAGGATTATTTTAGGCTTGTCAAACTCTATCTCCTATTCTTTTGCCTAGCCTGGGAAATCTAACTTCATATGTAGGACTTTACATATTTATCAGAATTTTTGACCCATTGCAAAATTAACTTTTTATTAATAGCAGTTTAATTATTTGAAAAGATCTTTTAGAAGGCATCAAGCAAAGCAATTGACCATGAACAAAAAGCTCCAAGCACCCTAGGGATGAGAAAGGATTAACTCAGTGTCTGTCAGCAGTAAACAGAGTTGTTAGGCTGTTATCAGAGCTACAAGCTTAGTAAAAATTGATAAGTTGCTATGGGGATGGGGATGGGGCTGCAAGGTCTCCACAGGTTGTTTGTGTGTTTTTAAGTTTTAAGCATGCCCATTTTTTTTTTACAGGTCCTGATAGCTGACTATTTACTAGGGAGATCCTTCCCAGCAAACTTAAAGAAACATCCTCTTGGACAATCAAATCAATGCCAGCACTCCTAGCTATAGCATGAATGGAGTCATAAATTTCTAGGCCAGTTGTCTGGCTAGGGCTCTCATCTGTTACTGGGTTGAGTTGAGGTGAGAGTGAGACCTCTTGGCTCTTGGGCTGGAGGTGTGCCCAGTATCAAGTTTCCTGACACATTAATGGAAGAGCAGCGGCACTGGTTAGTCTAGTGAAAGCCTTTATCACAGTGTTTACATTTGGAGGAAGGCTTCCTTTGTTTTTCCCCACAATCCTTGAAAATATGTCTCTCTTTTTCACATCTATAACACTTCTTTCTTTTTGGAGGCCACAGGACCACAGCCAAAATATCTTGCTTCAACAGTGCTTCAGCCACTTCCACATTCTCTGCTTGCCTTTGCAAAGATTTTGCCACCTATCTATAAATGCATCATAGCCTTCTTGTGGCCCTTGATGCACCTTAATGAAGGAAAGGCATCCTCCAGAGAGATCAGGTATTTTCCTCTATGCATAAGTGGCAATGTTGGATATTTGCTCAAAGGATTCTGGTGGCATGTGAGTCTGTTGATTATTAGTAGCATAATCACCAGTCCTAATAGCATTTCATCAGTAAGTTCTGGAATACTTAGTAAATTATTGAAAGCCTTCCAATGGCACCTGTCATTAAAATCTTGCTTCCAAACTATATTGGGCAGGAGTAGATACCATTTTTACCAATAATTTCTGGTCATTGGGTGTTAGGTCATAGTTTGCCACTATGCTGTCTATCGTCCCTGTGATATAATGATTGCTGGTTCCATATTCATTCTTTTTAGTTCCTTGTAAATGGAGTATGGTAGGGATTTGTATCTTATTCTTCCCTTCTTGGGTTTTACTACTTGGCAGATGGACAATCTCGAGGTGAACCCATCTTGTAGAGCATCCTCTATGCAATCCTGCTTAAATCAAATAGGTCTAATGTTCTCTATGGCCTTAAATGAAGGAGGAGGAGGAGGTGCTAAAAAAGAGGTGGTAAGAGGTGTAAGAGGAGTGGTTAGAGGAGGAGGAGTGGGAGGACAAGGAGGAGTGGAAGGACTGGGAGTTGATTCTTCCTTTTCTTTTGATAATTTTCTTTTTGAAACTAGTGTGGGGTAGTTCCAAATAGATATATAGTATTGCAGCACAAATGTCAGGCATGGAGGATCTCGATAGAATCACGAGACTCTCCAAGTAGGCAGATGCTGATTTTGTCCCAGTCTTCAACCTTAAGGGAGCCCTTTTTGGGATGCCAAGGTCAGCATAGATCAATTTCTCATAATGTTTGGGAGATGGTTTTTGAGGGAACAGAATGCTCTACTTGTGCTGGCAAAAAATGGAGTTCATTCCTATGAGCTGGTCACTCAGGAGAAAGCCAATTCCCCATATTGAGATCCCTGGATCTCCATAGACATGTATTGCATGTCTGTAGCCCTACCCTTTGGTGTGGGTCTCAGTATGTCAGTGTTCTGTATGCTAGTCACTTATTTCTTTACCAGTTCAGAAAATCAACCATCTCATCCTTCATTTCTGGAATCAAACGCCAGCAAAGCTGCCTTAAGGTAATTTCAAATAGTGTCCTGATACCAGGGGTGGTGACAGGTTGAAACCTACATACAACTCTCCAGCAAGCTCTGCCTTCTATCCCAGGTATGAAGCAAGGGCAAAAGAGGAACCCTCAGGGGGCTGGCAGGTGGTGCGGTGGTTAAGGATGCTGGACTCCCACATAGCTGACTGTGGTTCAAGTCCTCGACCTGGCAGCTTGCTCTCTTACTCTCTCTCTCTCTCTCTTTCTCTGGTCAAATTAAAAGATATGAATAAAGTTGAATAACATAATTCTAAAAGAAAAAGCTTTAAAAAAAAAAAAGAGGAACTCTCTATTGGGTTGTTGTGAGATGGAAGAAAGCTGGCAGCTAAAGGGCGATTGATGCAGAGTAATTAAGAGAAGTCTTACAAGCTCTGTGGCAAAGGCATCTCAATAATGGCCTGACAGGCAAATATTTCTGGAGGTAAAATTGAGTTCATGTAATAAAGAGTGGGTGATAGCCTCTACAGCCTTGTGTGGAGCAAAGTATTCTAATCTTGAATCACTCCTTGTTGCTCCAACCAAAGAGAGCATTTCTCCTTTCTCCTAAGAATTCTTTTGAGAATTTTGAGCTGAGCTGAAGTGAAAGTGAAAGTAGCCATAGTATGAAGGAATCTGGAGCCAAGCCACTGGGAACAGAGAGGCTGCCCAGATACTTACTTAAAGCTTGAAGTGGTGATAGAACTTGTGGTGTTAAGGACTAGGCAAAGATAAAGAGGATAGTCTCTCCGAAGAGAAGCTATCAGGCATCTGCCTGGCTGCATCCCCAGAGGAACTTTAAGGAGTCTCTTGGCTCTGGTAATTGGCTATAAATCGACCACCGGATCAAACGTGCAAGAAGGCTATGGGGCCCCCAACGTCTGATTTTATTGTATGGCCATATGAGCTCTCCACAAACCGCAGGTTGGGACCCATTAGATTCCGTAGCAACAAAGCCGTGGAGCCACAAACACTTTCATTCATTCACGCAAACAACAAGCATACCAGAGTCATGGGGAGCCCACGAGTCAAAAGATCTGGGCACTCTGGGAATCGATCCCAGGTTTCGACACCAATCTGTCAGTGTCTGCTGGCAGGCTTAAGAGTAACATCTCTCTGGATGGTAATACTGTTGGGGCTCTCTCCCGGACCTGGTCTTATAAGGAAGAAAGTTAGAGAAAAGAGAAAGACGCAGAAGCAAAGATGAGGTGAACACAGACAACCTGTGCTGCTCATTCATGCTGAGCTTTATTTATACATTTTGCCAGGCACAGTGAACTGTTTGGCAAGCTTTCAAGGATGTGATTGACGTTCTACAGTTAGAGATAAGCACTTTAGTGTATTCATTTTCTGACCTTGTTACTATCATGTGTGATCCTGTTATGCATCATAAATTAAGCCAGATTACTTAACCTGTTAATGTGCTGTTCCTCTGCAACTCCAAGGAGGGCTGTCTTAGTATACATTAGAGAGAATAATGTGTAAACCATAAACATTACATAGAACAAGGCTCACATGACCTTGCTAGGGTTAAGATGCTTTCCAAGCACCGCTGGTATTTCCACAGAGCCTCTAGCATCTAAGGGATGTGTCATCCAATCTAAGTGAATGATTAATTAGACACACAGGTAACTGCTTCAAGCTGTCAGGCTGCATACCTTCACAGTCCAGTATAGAACAAGGATCCCCAAGAGCCTCACAATACTAGGATGTTTAAAACCTATTATTCTAGATCTGTCTAGTCACTCTGGGTGGGTGGAGGACAAGCAAAAGATGACAGTATAAGAGGGTACAAAAAAGAATATGAAAAGGAATAAAAGAAAAAGTTGGTGGGGGGGTGCAGATGGAAGCGGGCTCTTGAGAGCTGAGAGTTGCCCTGTGGAGTAAGGAGAAGTAAAAAATTAGCAAAAGAAGGGGGAAAAACAGCCTACCTTACTGGCAGGTAGGAAGGAGGTCTCTGAGGGTGGGAGCTGGGGGGCTGGAGCTGTAACTGGGGCCAATGGATGCCCCCACCTCAGTTTTTCTGACTGGGAAGGGGCTTGCAGATAGAAGTGCTCAAAGTGTTTTTCTCACAGGGCTAGGCAGAGTCCTTGTGTCAATGGCCCATCTCCAGTTCTAATTTCTCACTATGCATTTGTAGATCTAGGACCACAGACCTTCGTTATGTCATCATAATTACATCTAATGTCCCTCCCAACTTTTGATTCATATTCTGTGCCTGGAAATAGTCCTTGTATTTAACAATAATACCTATACATTAAACAACCCACTATTACAACGTATATGGTCACAAATATTAATGATCTTCTGTAAACCAAGCAAATGTTTTAAATTGTCATGCATCACATTCACAACCAGAATCCCCAAGATCAAAAAAACTTTCACAACACAGTAACTTAAAATACACATACACACATATACACATATTCTCACACACACTTCTTATAGAACTGTGCTTGGGGAAACTCCATTTGTTGCATGCCACTGAAGGCACATTTTGCTAACTTCTGATCCAGGTATTTTTATTTGGAAAATCTATCACAGTTAGGGCACAGCTGTTCAACAGATGAGCAGAAAAGAAAGATATGCTTGTGGCAACCAGAAAGGTTTAAGGTCTTTCAACTTGCATAAAATGGACCCTCAGAAATATTTAAGTGTTCTCAGGATGCAAAATTGGAGCTGAAATGTGATATCAAACAAGTTGCAAAGAAGGTTACAGCAGCCATCTCTTGAGGTCAAACCTGGTACCCATATATGCAAGAAAACTTCAGGACATATAACTTGTTGGCCTTGTCCCATATCATTGCATTATCTGATCATATGTGAAATTCACAAAAGATTCATGTTCTGCTAGTTTGGTATTGAGGATTTGCTCATACTCCTCCTGAATTTTATCTTCATACTCTTTTAAGGGACACACATATTATTCCACCTGTCAGAGAATAAAGGTGGGCTGGTCCTTCTTCATCCAGGAGGAAACTAGAGAACTAGGTGCTGTGGTACTGAGGAGTGAGGCTGACTTCCCGAAGCACAAACTTGACACTGATTAAGAACAACTTCTAAATGTCTCCACCTCCGATAATGACTATATTCTTGTTTTATGTTCTGAAAAATTTGCTCCAGAGTTGGAAGGCACTGCTTGCTGCCAGGCAGAGAGGGCTGCTGCAGAGTCAGCGATGGGATCTGTATCTGAAGCAGTGGCAGAGGCAAGCCTGGAGTGGGGCTGGCAGAAGGAGACAGCGCCATCGCTTCAGGGAACCAGGACTCAGTAGCACTGCCTCAAATGCCATGGGCCTCTTCAGTGTGGCCCCACATGCCATGCCACTGAGGGGCCAGGAACCAAGAGCCATCACAGTAATAACTGCAGCCTGACTGTTGGCTTCTCAGCAGGGCTCACAAACCAAACTGGCTCCAATGGTGCTTTCAGCCTGAAATTTTGCTTTCTTTTAATGATTTAAATAAATCTTCCCATTCCTTTCTTGTGATATAGGAGATAAAAACACACATATATAGTTAGGGTATAGGCCCACAAGATACAGTCACTCTGGTCAAGCTTTTAATAGAAATCTTTCACTGCTGTCAATATAAATCAGTTATTAGCTCTCACTGCTGGCTTGCACAAAGAACTGCGTATAGCCAGACGTGCTTGCAACCTGCTCAAGATAATGACAGCTGAAAGTAACATTTTCTATATCACTGCTCCATTCTAAACGAAGCTAGTCTTTTGAAACCAGAGACATGAAGAAGGACCTTGAGCAATGACTCATTGCAAGCTATCATTTTAGAAATGGGAACATGACATGCAGGCCTGCACTTGTAAGATAAGGGGTATGACTGAGATTACATTTTTTGAAAAGTTTTTGCTATAGGGCGGGTGCACTCGCCAAACAGAGACAGACAGAGAGACAGAAAGTGAGAAATCACCC